AGATTATTTTTGCTCGAAATAAAACCTCCTAGTGGAGAGACCGTTACCTTGCTATTACTTTTATAAGCTATTGTTGACTTTTTGATATTTGAGCCCGTTTGCACCGGCCGGATATACTAGATTAAGTTCGTATACAATGGGGCATGTGATCTTGCATCAGGGCTGCTCCAAGTCGGTAGAATAGTTTGCTATGTTTGCCAAAATACAATCTAAAATATCTCAACTACTGTGAGGGGCACCAATTCCATTTATTGGACCGACTCTAACGCCATTTTCACTCAGCAGATGCCAGCCATGTGGGATCAAGAAATGTTAATTATAAAATGGAGCTTCAGACAAAAAGGCTTTGAAGCTTTGCCATTGATTCCCTAATCAAGCTCCAATTAATTATATTTAATGATCCATAATATCCTTCGAAATGCACTCGCAATAGCCGACTGACAGTGTGACCAACACACAAACTTTACAAATAAATAAAAGCTCCTCGTAGAAATGCACCAGCCGTTCACAGACGGCTCAAAAAAAAAAACTGAGTAACTCCATTTGCTGGAAAAAACATCTAGACGCATTTGCGATTGGAAAGCGTCAATTATATACGCTATCACCGGTGCCACCGGAACCTGCTATCCATCAGATGCAATTGTTGTAAATATATAAAAGTGGAGTGAAACCAATGTTGCCTAATTTCCTAAGACACTAATACTGACATCGACAAGACCACTTCCTACAGCTCAAGAGCGTACCGTGTGCTGATGATTACGGAGGCATACCATCGCTACCAAGGGCAAGCAACCATAATTAGTAAATACAATTTTTAGCTCATGATGGTATAACATTGTACAGTAGGAAAAAGAAGAAGAGAGGAATGTTGCTCAGAACGTAATACACATTCAACCGATCGTAAACTTTAGTTCTGTACTGTAAGAAAATACACAATCTTTGGTCTAACGTTACCAGCTGACCTAAAGTTAGGTCGCCGTAAGGGTCCCAGACCTTGCTCGGATAAATTCTGTTGCATAGAACCGGTTATCACAAGAGTTCACCGAGAGTACTTCCTGAACTTTCTTATAGTGAATGGGCGTTCTCGGAATCAAAACAATATCTATTACAAGCAAAGGCAGCCTCTGCGCGACAGTGGTTCAAGAATTTTACCGCGACAAGGCATACATGCCGTAAGAGGTGACTAAAATCCAAAGTTTCCCGCGAACGTTGGGTCTTTATATCGGAATGACCCCTATTTTTATCCGGCCAAGGACTGGCACTCCCACTGGATTCCCGCAAAAAACTACTTTGGAATGTGTTTTGAGTCCCACATAAAATTGGCCGAACTAAGATCTGGATATTGTAGCAAATTGAACTGATATCTATACGGACTTGATTCCGGATAGCCAACGGATAACCTGCATGCAATGAGCCCACGCACGACAGTAACCTAACCTTCTTGTGTGCCCCCCAAAAACCAACTCATCTATCTAACTTCCCTTTCTCTTTGGTCCGAGCCCGTTGAAACAGCTCATTTCCTAGACTTTCCCTTTGCGCTTTTTAACCGTTGAAGCGATTTTCGGCCGAGCACCTCCTCCAGTTTGTGATTTGCATCTTGATGTTTTTCCAACAAATGGAGGGAACAACAGTTTGTAATAAGTCGCCTTCGAGTGGCTAATAGTTTTTTTATGCGGAGCTTTATTTCAAGTCACAAATACACTCGGAGGGGTTGACATTCCCTGCCGAAGGGCGACCGTTATTAGAAAATTTAGCTTATTTTTTTATTTAAATTTTTGGATGTTAGTACAATACCAGGATTAGAATACGATGCTTCCGAATTGCAGTACGCAATGCTAACCCCTCGGCTACCTCGACCGCCAACCTCGATGACATAGACTCATATGAAATGAATGCGGGATTAGCGAACTGTTAAAAAAACAACAACCATCCCTGGAATTGTCGGTAAACCATCAAAACGCACATCCCAAATTAAAGTAGGAGCTCGGCCGAAAATCACTTCACGGCTTTAAAGAATATTTATCTTTGAACAGCGCCATTGAAGCGCAGATGAACTCAACAACGAACGCATCATTTTAACTAAAGTTGAACTGAGTTGACTCTTTGGTGAGATATTTTTCTTTTCTCTGAATAATAATTTTATAAGAGTGAATTTGGGAACTGAAGGCAGTGGTGGTCTTCTTTAGAAGCAGAAAAAAACGTTTTTTCACCATTTTTTTTTTTTAAAGGGAAGAAAGTTATTGCTATGTATGTATATTTAAGCTTCAAAAAACAGTGTTTAGTATTAAAAAGTATTGGAATTTTGTAATGTTGTGATAAGTTTTCTGAAGCGCCTAATGAAACTGTGCCGGTGAAGAACGTCGTGTGATGCATCTGAAGCAGTCGAACCAAAGTTTTTTTTATTCCTTATATGTGTCACTTCTATATGAACTAAAAAACAATACCGAAAAAGTTGGAAAATTAAAAATTTTTTTAAAGTATGAAAAAAAAATCATTTTTTGAAAATTAAATCAAGTTGCAAAAAAAAAAATAGTTGAAATAATCCTTTTGACCAACTATTTTAGTGCAAATAGAAGTTAATTTAATATCGAAGTTAGATCACTTTGATTTTTTTCAATCGGGCATATATTCTCTTTGCTATCACCGGCAAACTAAAACTTGTAAAACATCGGAACCTGCTCCACGCTCGATCACTAAAACAGCTTTAGTTTCTGAAATATGTCAAATGAGCCACTGAAATTTCGAAGACATATTCTTGAATAGTTTTATAAAAGATTTCAGACAAAAACGAAATGCATTTTTGAAGCCTCTAAAGCAGACTATACTGCATTAGAAGACATCAATTTGAGTTGGATTATGCCCAAGTGGTTTCAAATGTTTAAAGTAAATGTGCGCCCAGAAATGTTAAAAGTATTGTTGGTATTTCTAGTACATATGTATACTCGTCTATGTATGTATTCAACAGTTTTTAGACTACATAATTAAATATTCATTTTATAAACAATATTGAAAGCACCATTTTTCTGTCATTTAATATCGATTGCCCACGGTTTATCAATGCCACTACGATTTGCATTTTCTTCTTTGGTTTTAAAAAATGAAAAATTATGACTTTTTTATGAAAGTTTTTATGCTTTTTTACGTATGTATATTTACTTAGTTTTTATGTCGTTAAAAAATTTTTATTCAATTTGTTTGTTTATATTTTCGTTTTAATTGCTTGCGTTGCTAACGCTCGCTATGCGCTTGTAAATTAATTAAATGCCATCATTATTTGTTGTTACTATATTTTTTTTATTCATTTACATTTCCTTTGTTCCAAACAACGGGTGTTACATGAGTGTTGTAATAATTTTTTTTTTTTTTTTAATTAAAATTCTTAATAAATTTTGTTTTAAGTTTATTTTTATAAATTGTCATTTAATACATTTTAATTTCGATTAATGAACTATGAATTTATATTCCTGAACGTGAATTGTTTTACGGTCTTTGTTCTTAAGTTAAAATAATTACATTTTTTATATTATTTTTACAATTTCTTATAAATTTTTTTGTTTGCTTGTTTGTTTGTTTGTTTAATATTCCCAAAATACTCGTACTTGTAGCAAGTGCCAGCATTCAATTATTATATTATATTTATGTATGTTACAAATGTTTATGTACGCGTATGCTTTGAATTAATGATTTTTCATTAAATGTTTATTTATTTTCAGCTAATGTTTAATTTATTATATTATTATTTTTACTATAAATAATGAGTAAATATTTTTAACTAAATTGCATAATTCCTTCCCTACTATGTTTATTATTATTTAATTTAGCAAGAAAGACAAACTTTGTTGCTTTCTTATTTATATTTCTATTCCTTCTATCCGTTTCGTACATTTTATGGTGGATATTTTAGAAATATTATTTTTATATTATTACCTTTCACTTAAACTGTTGTAATTAATAAATTTGTCATTAAATAACTTTTTACCGCCGCATTTGCAGCATTGCGCTTAGCTCAGTGTATTTTTTTTTTGTTGTATTTATTATTTATTTATGATACAATTATTTCTCTCTTTTTTACTTTAATACTCTCTTTTTTGTTTCATGCTAAAATTGTTGTTTTAAAATAGCACACAAACATGTGTATGTGTACAAAAGGTTATACTACTTCCTGTCGTGTGCTTGAAAACATTTTAAACCAAGGCGGAATATCAAAAAAAAAAAAAATACCGTAATGCGCTTGACGTCACAGTGCAAGAGCTTCGTTTTTAATTTCGTTCCTTTCATTTTTGTTGGTGTTTTTATGTAAAAAAAAATTATTTTCAGGCTTGTTTTCGAATTTTCACCGGTTATTATTATTTTTCAAACCGCATATTTATAAAAAAAAAAAAGCCAAAAAGATATAAAATTTTTTTCTCGTATTGAGATTTGCGGGAAAAAATTAACTAAAGCTATTTACAAATAACTGCTTGTAACGTAGGTATGTATAAATGTCAAGAGTGCGCAAAAACCTATTCTTTTGATTGTCAACAAAATTAAATTTCATTTTCATTAAAAGTGAACGGTGGCTTTAAAAAAGTGTTTTTTAACAAAAAAAAAATTAATAAAATAAATAATAATAATAATAATCAAACAAACTCATAAGAAACATAAATGATATTAAAAAAAAAAAAAAATAAAAAAAAACAAAAACAATTTTTGATATAAACTTCGAAGGCATATAAAAAAATTTAAATGAAATAAAGAACGAAGAAAAAAAAATCTATATAAGTATGAAATGAAGTATGAGACCCCGGCAACATGCTGACCAACCTTAGTTTTGCAACATATTGCACACTTGGGCATGGGAAAAAAGGAAAGAAAAGTTCAGTTACCTTACAATGCACGCAGAAATTGCGGATGCGTAGAGCGTAAGTTGTCTTTGCAATTTTCATATTCCAATCATAAAGTTGGAAATTAAAAATTTTTCTTTCAGTTTATAATTAAGAGAAGAACTTATGTTTGCAAAGTTTTTTTTTTTTTTTTTTTTTGTAGCGAGCGAGCTATAGCGCATAGTAAGGTATCAAATGAACTAGAATGAATTAAAAAAAAATCAAAACCTAGTTACTATCAACAAAAAAAAAATGTTTTAAAAATATACATGAATTTCTTATTGCGCAGTGCAACGAAGAACGAGATATGCGCGCAAATAACATTCCTTTGTAGGCTTTTTTAAGGTAAAAGAATGGTGTTTACTAAATACGCGATTTAAAAAAAAAATTTGCGAAGCGAAAATATAACTTCACTTTAAGTATCTAACTGTAAAGGATTAATGGTTATATTTCGAAATCAAAAAGCATTTCTTCGAAATCGAATTATTTTTTGCGCTTTTGATTTTATTTACTTTTTTTTTATTGTGGCACATTTATAACAACACCATAGGCTAAATTTTTCCACTAAAATTTAACCGAAAAATTTTAAATACTGGAAAACTTATTCGAATTTGTTAATCATTTGTTATGAACAGTTAATAAATAATTATAAAGCCGTTATTGCGGATATCTCGAAAATTAAGCGAGAGAAAAAATGTGGTTTGAAGACAATTTTTACACAAGAAAGATAAATCTTTGATCAAATAATATGCGTAAATTTTTTTTTTTTTTTCAAAGTATGATTTTCTAATATTTTCGAAAAAAAAAACAGTTGAAATATATTATATACAGGAAAATTTTAAAATTGAATAAACGTCTAAAAATAAGGTATTTATAAAAATTTAGTCTTAAATATTAGTGATGCAATAACTCTGTTAGCAAATTATGTTTTAAAAATAATTTTAAACAATGTGATAAAGTTTGAAAACATAACGATAATTATTATACAATTGAAAAGTTTCTTTGCACTTAAATTAACAAATAAATAAATGTATAGGTTTACTATAATTTTCTATTATGCCAAAGGTTGCCAATCAGCCAATGAGCTTGTAGCCGTTGCATGTGATGTAATTGGTAATAAAAATAAAAAAATAAAAAAAATGTGCCACCGAAAAAAAAAACGGATTATAATAAAACCAATTTATGTTTAGGCAACACTTTCAGCTTAACTAACATTGGTTGTTGTCGGCGTGGTTTTGGCCATTGTTGTCGCCGCATTTACATCCGATTTACATTTGTTGCCACTGCTGTTAGCAGCGCTGCTGCTAGAATTGATGTTTACATTGCTGCTGCTGTTGCTACTATCCAAAGACCAGTCCCAATCCTTGCCCTTCGGTCGAAATTTCGATGATTTATGATGATGATGATGATGATTCGACAAATTTGGCGTTGTTGCGCTCCCACTTGTGGGTGCATTGCTCGCCATATTGTTGTGGGCGGTGGTGCTATGATTATGTAGGAGTGTGTCGGCACTTTTTGCCGTACTGGACGACTCAACGGTGTTGGTTTGCTGCTGTTGATATTTGGGCGATTTTTCAAAACTTTTCGGTGATTTTTTCGATTCACCACCACTGCTGGATTTCGTAAATGAGGTGGGTCCATTTTCCATTGCACATGACACATTCTTACCAGTGCCCTCACCAATCGTCGTTTTATCTTCAGCAGCCGTGGCTGTCGTATTGAGCGCATCATTACTATTATTGGCATATGGTATTAACAAATCATCGCAATCATATTCCCAATTTCGTTCGCAGAATTTCTTCTTGTAATGCTTCTCGGATGAAGTTTTCGACTTACGTTGATATTTCAATGGTATTTTGAGTGTGTTGTTGCCATAAGGGTCGGCGGTGCTGGTTACACCCGAACCGGCGGCAGGTGGTGTTGGTGTGGGCGTCGGCGTCGGCGTTACACTATGCGCAGCTGCCATAGCTGCAGCCAAAGGCGGTGTCGGTACTGCGGCATTCGGGCTGGGTGTACGTGGCAAACCGATATCGGAGAGCGGAGGACTCTCAATGGCGCTGGCGTCCACCGGCGAGGAGGAGTTTGTTTTCAGCAGTGTTATTGGTGGCATGGAAATGACATCGGAATGCGATGATTTCATACTATTATCGCTGAGATGATCTAGAGAAGAGGCATGACTGCTACCAGCACCACCGCCAGTAATGCCGCCGCTGCCACTGCTACCGCTACCATGTTGATGTAACAACAACGAGTGATGGTGTTGGTGGTGATGTAGATGACCATGCATATAGCTATTGGCTCCGCTACCGCCCGAGCTGGCGCTAGCACCACTTACACTGCCGCCAGAACTGGAACTGCTCGTACTACCAGCACTGCTGCTGCCACTGCCCATGGGCATGTCCAGCTGTGAAGAGGTGGAGGATGTGGAGAGAAATGTGCGTGCCGTATCTGAATTGCTGCTGCTACTGTGTGCAATACCAGAATCGGGTGAAGTGTTGCAGCTGATCGATGCCGGCACAATGTCCGTGTCAATGGAGCGCCGTGTCTTATCCAATTCGGTGGAAGCGAAAGCGACTAAACGATCGAAGCCGGAGCTTACACGATGTTGCCAGTGCGTCTCATCGTCGGCAATGACATCATCTGGTTGAGAAGAGAGAGAAAGAGAATGTGGTCATTTTTTCAATAGATTTATTATTTTATACGCATATAAAGGATTAGATATTGAACTGTAGATGCGTGTGCAGTGAACATTCTAATGATTTTCCATTTTAACATGAAATTTGCGGTGCAGTCCAGTGTGAGTGATTTTATTGGAGAAGAAGAAAGCATTGAATGCGCGCTAAAATGTCAATTTAGTAAATAAAAGTTCATTTTTTCCAAACATTTACATAATGGTGGCTTGCAGATTATTATTATTATTTTTAAGCTTATTAATTTTTTATGAATAACAAATTTATTTTGCTGACATTTTATTATTATCCTAATGGATAATATGATAAATTGCCCCATTCTAAAGATGACATTTGCGATGTCCGACAGAAAATGATCTAGGATGTGCCAAGAGTGGATTTCTATTCGGTAGCTCATTCCCGCTAGTTTCGCTCGCGATCGAAATGGTTCCGTCCTACCTCAATTAATGTTTGTGACTCAGGTAATTGGGCTTTAGGCTGGCTCTCACAATATACGAGTTCAATCTTATTATGAGCATAAACAATTTCTTGGCCTTTTTGGTCAATAGAACTTACATCTACTCCACCCAATCGGTCTTAAGCGGTCTACGAATGAGGAAATGATTCTAGTCCCCTCTTTAAGTACAATAACTTTTGCAACTATCTCAAAAATACGTTGCTGCGTCGTGAGTGCGTCGTGATGTTTTTCCAAAATTTATACTAAGTCGCGGTAGCCGACAAACCTCCAGAAGTTACAGAGAATTAATTTTAATAAAAAAATAAGTTAAATTTAACTCTACTCGCCAACCCCTTCCAGTGTATTTCTGACTTGAAATAAAGCTTCTCATGAAAAAAAAACTTCAGGCGTTCGTAGGCCGCTTAACATAAACGGATGAGCTTTTATTTCATGCCAAAAATATACGCGGAAGGGCTGGCATACCCTGCCGAGAGGCGACCGCAATAGAAAAATTAATTTTCTATAATTTTGAATGTTGTTCGAGGTCGAAACAGTACTCGAACTCTGAAAGTAGGGAATGCTAATCATTCAGATATTGCTGCCGCCAGTTAATTCAGAATAAAATTTGCTGGTAAAATGTTTGATCGTGCATACGAAGTTAATAAATTGAAAAATTCAATAATTAATGATGTAAGAAAATTATTTAATAATAAAATTATAAAGAAACTAGACAAAAACAAGTAAGCAGAAAGGAAAGACAACTAACCAATAACCATTTTGCAAACACTTACCGCTTTAATTTCTACATTTAACACTGTTAGGAATTGATTTTTTACTCTCGTTTAGCATACATTTATTTGTACGCATATGAAAGTTGTTTGAAAATCCAAATTCAACAGTTATATTGCGGTTTTATTATGACCATAACTGCTGAATGAAACGGAAGGTTTGGTATGGAAGGAATTGTTGGATACTGGAATGTAATGTGTGGGAAAATATAAATGAGGAAATAAAATAATACGATTTGAAAGAGTAATAAATAGTGAAGAACGTAAATTTTTTTTCAAGCAGCAATGGTAAGTGAGCGAATAATATACAATGTAATTACGGATTTAATGAAAATGTACGTTAATGGGGTTTATTTTAATTTTATTAATTAACAAAAAAAGCTAGTTTGACACTATATATATATATGTATACATCGCTAGCCTTGACAGTTTAAGATTTAGTTTTTTGATAATAAAAAAATATAATCAAATGCCTTCAATAAGGAAATCGGTAGGGAATTAAGGCGTAGTGTTAGAGCTAGAAGACTTTGTTATTATCCCGAATTCACACCTAGACGCAGCGGAATTTCTTCGTTTAAATTACCCTTTTAACAACAACAAGATATGGATTTTAGTGTACGCAAATATACGAAATTTATCCCACCCTTTGTGAGATTATCAAAATTGTAAATTTTATTACGATTAAATGCATATGCTGAGTTCGGTAAATTATTGAGGAATCGTATATGAAAATATTAATTTTTCTCATTAGCGTAGTTTATGAAGACTTTTATCAACGCTGTTCTAACTTAGTTATTCCTGAAAAAATAAAATGGAACAAAAACTTCTATTTTCTTGGGAATAAAAAAAAAAATATTTTCAAACAATTGTTCCCTTTTCAATTTTACAAAGGAATTTTCTTATTCGGTCAAATTATAAATCATTAACGAAAGCAAAAAAAAATATATATATATAAAAAGTGTACGGAAAAGAAACCCAAACAACCGGATAAAATGGAACCCAAAACACCATATAAGAATTTAGGTAATTGGATGTGGAAAATTAAATAAAAAAGCATTTTTGTGCGTTCATAAAGAAATAATTTGATATAATTTTAATGCGCTTAAAAATTTTGAAAATTACATAAACCAAATAATGCGGAAAGTGCAAAATAAAGAAAAAATAGTTATAAAAACTTAGAACTAAATAAAGGCAATATGTTTTTTTGTTTGTTTTTGTTTTGTAAGTAAAGAATCATAGACAAAAAAAAATATACAAATAAGTAAAACTTAACTGTAACTTATTAATCAAAAAATTGGTTCTACGCAAATATTCTTTTAGTTTTGGATTTCACAAGTGTACTAAAAAGATGTGCTAACTGGTTTGAAGCAATTACAAAAACAATTTTAAAAACTTAAGCTTAAATGAATGCAAAAAATCAAGGCAAAAGAAAAATCAACGACAACAACACTAATTACAAAAGTTATCAAAATGGACAGAATGACGAACAAAACACAGTAGCACTTATTTAGTATTTATGTACAAACGTAGTGGTTTTTTTTTAGTACTATATGCAATGCAGTTAGTATTGTAGCAAATAATTAATATAAAAAAAAAAGAAATGATAAACGCGTTATGCAAGCCCCACTTTGGATATTTCTTGTCAATTTTGTTGTACAAATGATATTATGATATGCTGTGAATTGCGGCAGTATATTCGGTAGTGAGTGATGACATGACAACAATACTTGGCCGTGCTACTAATCACTATTAACATTTTGTGAACTTTCTTTCCATTTTGCCTCAGGTACATATTTTGAGCTCTTTCGGTTTCATTGTTTTGTATTTACACTATCTTCAATGTGTTTATTGTACTATATTCTATACTATAGTGCGTCCGGTTGCGTACTGTACGTGTTCTTTCTAAATACTATGTTTTCTCTTCTGCTGATGACTAATGTTAGGTGGGACGTGACGGTTGGTGCATGTTTGGTAATAATTGTGTGGCAAACAGTCAATCAATTCTTACCATCATCACCGGCGCGTCCACCCACTATAGGTGTTGTTGCTGTTCGCGGCTGCTGTTCATGCTGGTGCTGCTGCTGCTGCTGCTGCTGCTGATGATGATGAAGATGTTGACGCGACATTTTGCCAGCCGCTGACAACTGCAGAGGTCGCTCATCCCCACCACTACCGCCGCCGCCACTACTCATTATCGAATTGATTTCCGGACTCATTAGCAACGGCTCGAGTGGCAGCTTTGCATTTCGTCGGTACGACGGCGATAAGGAGGACTGCGGTTGTGCTGGTATGCCTGTAGCCGCTGAGATGGTCCCACTGTTATTGCTATTGCTACTGCCACCACTACTACTAACCCCATTCATATTTGCATATGGATTAGTGTTGTTTAGATGTTGTTGCTGTGGTTGGTGCCGATGTTGATGCTGCTGATTGTGCCCGGCGGCGTTGTTATCGTTGTAGTGCGCCATTTTAGCGGGACGTGGCTGTTGGTTGTTAGCCATGGGCGAAGTGCGTTTCACGCCAACTATTGATTTGTGAAGAAAAGTGAAAAAAAAAAATTGTTAATTAGTTCGGTATATAAGTTTATAAATTCAATATCAAAAAATCACTCACTCTCCACTTTATTCGGCGTTGTGTTGTTACTGTGTATCTGTCCTTGGTAATGATGTGGCTGAACGTGTGCATATGGTTGCTGTTGATGGGGGTGCGAGTGGTGCTGAGGATGATGATGTTGATTGTGCATATCATTGTTGCTGTTGTTATTGGAAACTGCAGCCGCACGTCGTTGGCGCTCTTCGTGCTCTTCTTTGTATTTACGTGAAGCCATGACATGATCTTGCAGCGAAGCCGCTAAGCCTGTGAAAAATGTAAAAAAAAATATAATATTTATTTTTGGTATTAACACAAAGATATGAGATTATATTCTGTTCGGTGAGCTGATGGGCAGTAACAATTGTTGCCATCTTTTATCTAGCCTCATTTGGTGATGCATATAACCAGTAAAATTTGCAATTTGCAAATTTTTGACATTTCCTTACTGGCAAATTCTTTCTGACATTTCCAGATCGCAACACTAGGTTTGCCAAATCCAGAAATATCAAGCGCAACCATCGTATATACAGTTTATTCTGATAAGCTGTTGGGAAGAATTGTACTTAAAACCACAATAGTTTTTCTCTCTTTTTCATGTACGAAAGCACTGCAAGTACTTATTTCAACAAGCAGATCGAGGGAGTACGAAATAGGCCTTCATTTCAAGAAATAAAAATGTGAGATCAGTAATGCCAACGGAAGATTTTCAAACATAATTTTCAAATAAGCAAATAATTTAAATCACTTATTATTTCTTTGGCATCAATACAATACACTCACCTTCCAATGGAGGATTGCTGCCATTCATTCGATTGCCACGCCCATTATTCCTCTCCTTACTGCTCGACTTATGCGAGTGCGTTTGTTGATTATGATGGATCTGCTGCTGATGTTGCTGTTGTTGCTCATCATTGAAATATGCTTCGATGCAACCTTTCATTTCAGCGCGAGGCAAGCTAACTGGCTGATAGTCGCGACTGCGTGAGCCACTACTTGCACCGCCTACATTATTGCCAGCAGTCTGTCGGGCAGTCGCTTCTCTCCCGCCACCCATTGTCATTTGCTGATAGAGAGAGGGATTCTGTGGTAGGTCTCGAGCAATATTATAGTTGTTGTTATTGCCACGACCACCACCATTCGATACATTTGTATTGGCAGCTGTGCCACCAGCACCTGTTTTGTGATTATAGGCGACATGTGCCAACGTAGCTAAATTGTGTGTGGCCTGTGTTGGCGGCGGCGATTTGCGACCACTGCCAGCACCCATTGAGCGAGGCGAATGGTCAACTGCGCTACCTTGCATATGCGTGGGTGGTGTTTGATCATCGAATACACGCACGTGCACACGTTCAGGACGTTGTGCATTCGGATTGATTAACAAGCGTTCGTGCGCTACTCGATCCATATAATTGTTTGGACCGACCGCGTTAGTGGCGACACTAGGCGGGGCCCCAACTGTGCTCATATTTACAGCTGCATTGATTATGCTCTGATGGGATATTTCAAGTGTGCGCTCAATTTCGCCATTCACAAGATCGCCAATAGTTTTCGACGAGAGTGGCATGCTAGGGACCGCACCACTGGTGGGTGGTAATTGCTGATTGAGTTTTTCTTGAGAGAGATGACGACGAAGTGCCATTTTTGCTGGCGAAACCTGGGTGTAATCGGGTTGAGAAGAGTTTGAACTCGGTCGACTGGGTTGTGGCAGTGCTTGTTGACTACCGCCCCCGGAGCCCGTACTACTGTTGCTTTGATGCGGTGGCAACGGTTGAGAGACCGCAGACTCACGGCTATTGCTGCGCTCTAGCGACATAAGGCGATCGCGCGTCGGTGGGTAGTACATAATTGCCGAGTCTGAGTTGGCCGAACTGGAACGGGGTGCATTCACCACATCATCGACAAGTTGCTCACGACTGCTTGATCGTTGCGTCGCGTTCAATATCAGATTTTCCGCCGTAACGGTGGGCGCTTTGAATTCGAGTTGCGGCATTAGGTGTGCATGATTGGCTCCGGGGTGATGTTGCGACGATGCACTGCCCGCAGCAGCTGCTGCAGCGGCAGCCATCATCATTGCTTGTTGATGTTGTTGTTGTTGCTGAGCAGCATAATGCTCGAAACTGGCCGCACTAACCGAGCTGCGGCGCCGATGGTGGAAGGCCATATCTGCCGATGAGTTGCCAGCGGCTGTGGGTGGGCCAAAATGCATGTGTTGTTGTTGCTGTTGTAAGTGTGCCATATGTTGTTGTTGCTGCAAGTGAGCACTGTGTTGCTGCTGTTGTTGTTGATACTTGGCAGCGCTGGCTTTTTGGCTGCCTGCTCCAGCGGAAGACTGTTGCTTGCTGCCGCCATATTTTCCAGCAGCTCCCAAGCCACTGCTGCCATATTGGTTATTACCCACAGACGGCGGAGGTGTTATTGGTGATATAGTTGTGGTGGCATTCAAATGGGTTGGGCCTTGGGTGGCAACGGTGATGAGGTTACTCAGATTGTTTGGCGGCATGGCCTGCGGTGGTAGCGGCTGCATATGATTGGGGTGTGGGTGCGGCTGTTGGTGATGCATTTGCATTTGCTGGTGTGGATGCTGCTGCTGATTCATGCTATTGCTCATTATTGCTGCTGCCGTAGCGCCTGCCGAGTGTTTGCCACGTTTCGTGGCGGGCGATGATTGCAAGGAGTTCGGCTGCGGCGCTACAGATGACGATGGTGATGTCAATACACTTATGTCATGCAAATGACCGGCTGTGGAACCGGGCATTTGATGCGCGGCTGCCTTGCGATGCTCCTGATCCTCATTTAAGGCCGTGGTGATTATACTCTTAAGGCGATCTTCGAAGTTGGCCACTTTAGGCGATTCCTGTATGCTGGCGGCTGTTGGTAAAGGCATTGCAGGCTTGCGTGCGCCGGGCAACTCGCATTTCGGCAGTAGTCCTACAGCGGTACGCAAGCCGTTTCCACTTCCTGCAAGTAGCTGTTGCTGCTGAAGCTGTGACTGGGATAACTGCTGTGACTGCTGTTTACCCGCAGCAATGGGTGCGGGCATCAGGTTGCTGTCGGCTACATAAATGGAAACTGAAGAGCGCTCATTGCTCGAGCCGCGCGAATTAGATTTCTTTTTTGATGATACCGACACAAGTTCCTCGTGATAATGCGTCATATTGTTATTGTTGTGTTGTTGATGGTGCATTTGTGCCCTCTGCGGTAGCGGTAACTGCTTGCTACTGGTATTGCCCGCGACGGAGACAACGTTATTGTATGCGGTAGGTGCGCCTGCGGATCCTGAAAACTTTCCCGCCTCAATTTGCCGTCCAGTTTCCAGAATTTTTTGGGCCAAAACCTCTGGATTGCTCTCCTCTATCTTACCTACATCCGGCACATCGGGCCATTCCTGCGAACGTATGCGATGATCCCGACTACGACGTGCATTCTTTCCCGTTGTGTGTCCCGACGATTTACTACACGTTGTAGACGCGCTATTTGACAAAGAAGCGTTACCAACGGTACTTGTGTTTGACGTCGTTGTCAGCTGTAAAGGTTGCGCTGGGCCACCGCCACTGGCTGGAATCAGTGTAGCGGGCATCAATGCAGGCGCAGCACTTAGCGCCACAGATGAGTTTGCTAAAGTCATATTGGTGCCTTGTGCAAGCAACGCGGCTGCTGTGCGTCTCTCCTCGGCGGTTTTCTCTAAAAGTGCCGCCTCCTTCTCAATAGTCGATACCTGTGCGTACAGCTTTTTGCGTTGCGCCAACGTATTGGCGATCTCCTTCAATACCAACTCGTGTGCTGCGGCTTCGCTCAGCTCACTCGCGTTGCCATTAGACAACTCAAGCTTAGTTCGTCCATTGTTACCGCAGGTCGTTTGGTATTCTGGCAAATGTTGCAGATGCTTCTTCAACAGTCGTTTCTGCTCCAATTCACAAGTGGTCACCTGCGACTGAATCTTCTTTGCTATGCCTTGTAGCTCCTTATGTCGCCCTACAATCTCTTTCGCCTTGGTAATCAGATCGTTCGGTGAGGTGACATTGATGCCTAGCTCGTTCATGCGCGCTTTTAACAGCATTACGCTATCATCAATCAACACCTTGATCTGCTTGTCCAGTTGACTTGCGCGGTTCTTGATGCGTTGTTTGCGTTCTTGCTCCAATTGTATTTGACGCTTAATGTTTGGCACAAACGATTTCGATTTCATTTGCTCGATCATTGCCATATATTGTGAACGGAAGACGTCCAATAAGATTTGCAGTGCGTATGGCGTATCCTGCGGCGCTTCGGGTATTTCCAGTTCCGTATGCGACATATTTCGCGTCAGTAGCGATGTCAATTGTTGATCTACACAACCCGGCGCCGCTGGCAATTTTTTGCTTAACACCTCATGCGACGTGCTTAACAACGTCTGTTTATGCAGCACATCCAGACCAGCGATCTTCAAGGACTTGCGACCACGCGCCCCCTTTTTCATACGACCTTTGCGGCCACGAACACCGCCACCACCACTGCCAGCGCCAAAATCCTCCTTCGATGAGGAGTCTTTGCTGTTCGCCGCAGCGGCTGCAATTGCGGCTGCCTGTGCTGCTGCCTCACGAGCAGCAGCTGCCGCTTCTCTTTGCGCTGCCGCAGCAGCAGCACTCTTGCTAGCAATTGCCGCCTTACGCGTAAGCTTCTTACGCTTCTTCTGTGGTACAGTGCGTGCGTTACGCGCTGTAGTTGTGGTGGCATTTCTAAAGTTATTATTATTCTCCTCATCATCCGACTGCGACGACTTGCCCTTAGAGCTGCTGCACCAGTCGGACCAGATTTTACGTGTGGTCCGACCATTGGCGGTGCCGCCAGTCACGCTGCCATGCGCTGCTTCACCTTCGCTCTCCGTCGATGTATCCATATCCAAATTGTTGCGCTGGGCTTGCGCTTGAGCCTGTTGCTGTTCGCGTTGTTGCTGATTGCGAGTGCTTTTGGATGTAGTTATCGTCGACGTCGTCGTCGTCGACGCCGTTGTTGTTATGCTCGACTGATGACTGCTGTTGTTGCTGTTATTGCTGTTGCTACTATTATTTACAAGCACCGCCGGCGAGTTGGTGCGTTGAGCATTACTAACGTTGCTATTGTTGTTGGATGAGTGCGAAGACGACGAATTTGCGGAGGAGTTCGATGGTGTGGCATTCGTTTGCGAGTTATTGTTGCTGTTGTTGTTGTTGTGGTGATGGTGGTGATTATTGAGTGCGTGATTATTAGCTTCACGTTTGGCACGATCGCGTGTGGTACGCGTGGAGCCTAAAAATAAAGAAAAAACCATGAGAAAAATGATTTGCTGTTAGTAAGTTAGGGTTGAGAAACAGCAGTCGGTAAAGTTGGTAGTGAATGCAGTTTTGGGCGAATCGATCGATACACGACAACATCAAAGAAGGATCAAATATGCAGACAATAAAACAAAGTATGTAAATAAAACAAATAAAGAAATACACTCAAAATTCTAGGAAGCACAACAGAAGTGACTGAAGATGCATTATATGAATTTCGATTGCAGAGAAATTGGTTTGAGTGATGACTGTTGCGAAAACTGTTTGTTGAGTGGTTTTTTGTGTAGTTTTTAGCTTCCAAATTTTATTTACAAAAAAAAACCAGCTCCACTAGTGATTTTCTGATTATTTATATTTTTCATTTTACGTGGTGTCGCTATATTCTTTGGTTTTGTGTTATTGTCCTTTGTTTATTTCATTCATCTTTATTATTCAATTTATTTTTGTTTTAATTTATTTTTATTACTGCGCCTTCGATTTTGTGTAAATTTATTTTGCGTTCATCTATAATTTCTATTATTATTTCCTCTTCCTTTATAGCTCTGTCTTTACTGCTATGTTTTTTTTTAGCTTTGGATTTTATTTCCTTTCCAGTGTTTTTTTTTTTCAATTCATTTATCTAAATATCTGTTTTTTTCTTTATATTCATTCCCCATTTCTTTTTTTACTTACCGACATGGTCATTTTCAGCACCTTTTTGGGTTTTCAAGCGTTGAAAATAACGCTCCAATATCGTACGATCGATCGTATGTAAATAGTACGATACCGGTTTACAGGTCCACGAGACCGAACCTTTGAGTGGTGGTATTTCGCTGACATGCATTATTGTGCCGATGTCGCTGAGGTTTCTGCGAAAGAAAATTAAAAAGCATTATTCTCTAATAAATACAATCATCTTGAACTTGAGGAATTCCTCAATCACAAGTCCAGACACTTACCTATCGGTTATGCGAAAATTCAGCGGACAAAATGATTTCGACGATACAATACGTGCGCCATCACGTAAATCCGCAAAACGTTCCTTCAACTGATGATCAACATTCGGTCCGAATGCAAAATTATTAACGAAAACCAGCGAAGATGATGTTATTTTCTCACGATGTTCATCGACTAAAAAATCACCTTTTGTTAACTTATAATCGCAATAACGTTTACCGAACCACGCCATAAATTGACGAAAATACATATCCATACGTTCGGCATACCGCGCAGGCGTATCGGCTTTTTCAATGCCCACACATGCCTTCAATGGGAATGAGCCGGCCATTTGTAACACCACCTGGCCAACACCCGAACCAAGATCAATGAATGTATCATCATTTGTAACATTCACATGCTTGATCATCTGCTGAACGAGCTCGTATGATGTTTCGCCATATACTTCGGGTGAGAATGGCTCGTAATTGTTGAGTTTATCCGGGTCGAGTACGGCAGCATTATATACTAATTGCAAAATATGTCTGAGTAAGCTGGGATGAGCGAATTTATTAAGACGCTCAGCGGGCAGTGAAGTTCCTTTTTCCTGCAACGGAGGGAGAGAGAAAGAGGGAGAGAGTTTTAACAGTTATTAGTTAGTTAGTTAAGATTACATTAAGTAACTCACAGATCTTAAGAAGACAAGAGAAAAAAGTTTTCTACGTAAGGTAACGCTTTCAAATTTAATCTGGGAACGAAGCATTATCTCGGCAAATACTAAAAATTCAATACATCACGTATTAAGATCAGGTCATACAAAGAAATTAAGTGATCTTGGTATTCGTGGAGATTTTAGAAAGTTGTTCGGATTTCTGCTCAGTAAAGTATTGAATATTGAGTCAAATTATACTTCAGGATTGGAACTATACTATTCCTCAGCAGTGCCGCTGTTGCAGAATCATAACATCTCATTGCTTACTTGGTTATGGAGACAAAATATGCTGAGACCATATTTCTAAGGAAAGATCTCAACTTGAGTATTATAACTTTTTCAATAGTCGGCAAATCGTTTCTATTGTAGATTCGTTCTGTTATCGATATCAAACAGTTAAGAAATTTTTATGATCCTACAGGTTTTCCTTTTTCTAAATTCATTTCGTTTTATTCAAGAACAATCCATTATATTAAAAAGAAATAAGCAGATTTTCTTTCTGTTATAGACTTTTGTCTTCGAACTCGGACTTATACGGAATATAACAAGAATGGGCTTATCTCTCTATGTCTTCTTCTCTATTATGCATAGTAAATTCATGTAATACTCACCAATGCAACAATACTGTCAACAGCCTTGTTGAATCGATCGACAAGATTTGTCATAGTCTTGTAGCAGGCAGTGTCAATATGATTGAGATTAATCTCTTCGAATGCGGATGAGATACTTGGCAATTCTTCGCAAACAAATTTGATCGTGTCGATAATATCGATGCCATTGTCGTGTTTGTCCTGACCGCTGCCAACTTGTAGGGGCCATGAGAATGTGACCACTTCGGAGGAGCCAGCAGGAGAGCGTAACACCAAATCCTTGACTTGTGGTGTTGCCATATTGCATAGGCGTATATATTTTGGTGGCCTTGCAAGGTTAATAATTGATCGTGGCTCGTCGTTCGCTGTACTTTCTACATACACTCAGCCAAGTTAGTGTGATTTAGTTGGGCGACAGGCAGCCGATGGGCAGTGTTTATTGGGGGGTTATTTAATATTAATTATTTTATTACTTATTTTTATTTTATTTTTTTATTTTTACTATTTTATGATTTCATTAATCCTAATGGGTTGCATTCGAGCGTAAGTTGCGCAGTAATTGGGCGTTCGGACGGGTGGTGATTAGGCGTACGGGTGCGTTGGTAAAGTAATTGGCGGCGTGTGTCAGTCGACGATGCCTCAACTCAACTAGGCTTACTTCCACCACTTTTACTACTCTCGACGATGTTTCTACTGCGAAATTGTCTGCCAAATACAATTGCACCGTCTATGACAACGTACACCAACGACAATACCGACGACACACCCGCCACCACTACTAACACCAACAATGCAATAATGTTGTCAAATGACGATTACTCAACGATAATTTGAATATTAATGAAGTGCTTTCAGCCAATATCACACAGCGCTGGCAAGGATCTGCTTGCGTTCGCGGAAATAAATTATACTCAACGAATTAACGGTGTTTGGATTGCGGTCGTAATTGGTGCGCGAAGAATTAAATTGGTAGATTATTCCATAGATAGTAGGCCTTAGAGCCAGACGAGGGTGCGTCTTGCAATGTTGGTGGAAATGGCGCCTGCGTGTACTATGATCTCTCTTTGTATGCGCTCTAGCTCTAGCTCTCGCTTGCTCTTTCTCTGCCTCTCGCAATGCTGAATGCTGCCACTTTTGTCGTTTTATCTTTCACTTGATGTTGTTGCTGTTGTTGCTGCTTGGCTCATAAGATTGCCGATGATCGGTTGGGAAAATTAGTGTAATATGCTAATTTCTTATTATTGTTGTTGTTGTTGTTGATTTTATGAACTTATCGTTGTAATTTGTACTTTTTTCTTAAAACTTTTTTTTTTACTTATTACACTTTTTAAAACTACTATTTTATTTTATATTATTTATACTTTTTTTTTACTGTATTCAACTTAATCTTATGTATGTATGCGTGTTGGTGTTACATATTTACTATGTTGTTGTATGGAATCGAATGAGATTATTGATGATATCGTGGATCTGATACGTTTTCGAAAATTTCAAGAGAAAAAAGTTTTACATAAAATAAAAGATGAAAACAAAGAGGAAAACAATATCAACAGAAAGTCATGAAGTCACAAATATGTTGCATTGAAACAACAATATCAATCACATTTCATGTACTCGTGGATTGTTTTGAAGCGTTGAATTAGATGAGAAAGTAAGCGAATCTGATATTAGCAACCTCATTTGCAGTGTGGGCGATGAGTTTGTGTAGTTTTTCCAAATACTCTTCGAAACGAACCTCAAAAGTATTACATTTTAAGACGGTACACAAGTATTGAGTAATTGAACTTCCAATGATGTTATCAACAACAAAAATGGAAAATGTGGTGATCAGCGTTGGAAGAAGATTTCAGAGATAAAATTTCTTGACTTTCACAGACATTTATTTCCTTTAGTTAGGATAAAATTATTTTACGAAAATGTACGATGTTGATCACCCTAACCAAACTTTATGTGGGGAAAACTGCAAATAAATGTATTTACTTTAAAATTAATAAAAAAAAAAAAAACGCCTAAACGTAAGTGAAGAAATCTTCTAACTAAATTTGAAATATTTATAAACAATTGTAAATGTCTCAACTTAAACGATCCGCTTCGATCGAGAGCCGCTAAAAATTAAAGCTTTTTACGACGCTTTATCTCACGCTTTACTTTTTCATCTAAGGCACACATGAAGCCCTCTTTTTAAAGGCGTATTAAGTACGGTTCGGTCAAGTCTTGTCAGATGTTAAAATTCATTGTAACGTTTTTAATTTTTATTTGGTAAATTTAATTAATTGCCGTTGACAACGATGATGAGTGCTTCGATAGGTAATGAAACGGAATTACGACATTTTCTGTTTTGACTATTTTGAGGATAAAACACTGATAGATAAACCGCTTTGTTCGCAAAAATACTAATAGTTGTTATTGGTGTTGTTTGTTTTTTTTCTTTCTATTAAGTCCATGAAAAATTCAAATATCGGGGGCGTGTATTCATGCAAATGTACATATGTATGTTTGATTTTTCCAGCAAATATTTTCGACATATTCAAATTTCTTTAGCGCATCTCTTTTAAATTATTCTTCATCTTCTTTAGATAGCATGACTTTTTTTTGTGATTTTTTTTTTTCTTTACGAGAAGAAATCGAGTAATTGCAAAATTGTAGTCTGTAAAAGAAAGAAACAGAAAGGGTAAACATAAATAAATAAGGTATAAAAAATATAGGAAATATATTTATGTAGTATGTATGAATGCATTATGAGCCGCTTTAGGTATGAATTGCGAAATGTGCATAGATATATGAATAAATATGATATGAAGAGCAAATGAATTTATGCAATGCAATATTTATGATACATAAAGCATATACTAAATATCTTTAGTAAAAATAAAAAAAAAAAATAAAAATCACTAAAGTAGAAAGTAATTAATTGTATTAAACACATATAATAAATGAATGTTTGAGTCAGTGGAAATTTGGGAAAAATTAAATTATTTATACACACACACACACATGGAAATTTGGAAACTTATAAGCTCGCTCATTCATTCTTACACACATATTAAAGATACAAAAGGAAATGATTTTCTTATTTAAGAAATTTTTTTCAAAAACACGATGCTTATTTTAAATTTAATGATCTTTTGCCCATTAAAGTATGGACTTTCATGATTTATTTTCTAATTTTATTTAAACATATACAAAACTTAAAATCATATTTTAAGCCTAGTTTTCCTTAAACCAATAAACGCAACAAAATCATTTCGTTTCATTAACATGAAAAATTAACTCAACGAAATAAAATCATTTCGTTTCGGCAAGATGTTAACAAAACGAAATGAAATCGTTAATATTGTAACGGCACAAACTCAGCGTTAATGTTAAGGGCTGCATGCTATGATTTAACAGCACACTTAAATTTTAGGGTTTAACATTATCTGTTAACGATTTAACATTAACGACAGCTCTCCGTTGCGGGTAAAAACGAAACGAAATGTATTTTGATAACTGCTTTAACGTTAATTTTTCCCAATATTTCAAACGAGTCGATTGAAACCTTGCTTGGGCATGTCACACCAAACTCTCGTAGTGTATTTGTTTTATATCGCTGTTGTTAGGCCTATAATTCCCCCCTCTAGAGTGATAGTCTGATGGCCAGCACTTATGAAAAATATCATCAAATAAATATAAAAAAATATCTCCAAATTCAATAGAGTATAGAGTTCTCTTGGATCTACTCCCCCCAGTGACATAATGGGACCGCACAATGCTGTTAGCGCTGCGAAAAGTATACAAAAGGTGTCTGAATGGATGTTATTAAACCACGGGCATACTAGCATCTTAAGAAGATTCCGTAATGGATTACTGCATATCATTCACTGTCTTCACGATAGATTTCAAGGTGGTTATCCCCGACAGAAATCTTTGGGACAGACGGATTAAAACTTGATAACCGAGTTGGTGGCGGAGTTTACTCAAAGCATCTTAATAATTCTAAATCTTTTCGCTTACCGGATCACTGTAGTATTTTTCAAGCGGAATTGGTGGCTATATATGAGGTCGTCAATTGTCACAGCTCAATGGTGCTCTCAAATAATCGTATTTATATTTTTTTCAGATAACCAGGCTGGGTACATTACGAAACCTGGAGTCTGTAAAAGTGGAATCTATAAACATAGAGAACTATCGCAGATCAGTTAACGCGATGGCTAAGCAGTTTTCTCCGAAACTGGTATGGGTAGCTGGACATAATAACATACCGGGTAATGAGATAGCGAACGAGCTTGCAAAGAGGGACACTTTCCTTGGAAGAGTTTGGGCATGCCGCTCTTCACTTGTAAGCTTAGTATAAGAGAATTATTCGTTTAGGATGCTAATTTAGGATGGGAAGACTCAATGCATGTAGTGTGGCCACGACATTATGGCCAGAAATGGAACGGTTGAAGGTCACATGACCTTATCGAGTTATAAAAAAGGAGACATCTACAGTTATTCTTAAAGAACAAATTTTATTCGGTGAACTGGGTGAGCACGAAGAGATATTGGGCAGAAGTTCTGTAGAAATTGCAGCGAAAAACATGAAATTTTATGGCACTTTCTCTGCAAATGCCCCGCCCTTTGAAGGAAGAGGTTCAAGTCTCTGGGGCGGCAACCTTTGGAGACATGAGCGATATGCGGTAACCGCTCAGCTTTGCAAATTCCACACTCAAGGTGAGCTGATGCCCGGCAACGACTTTAACCAAGCAACTAACCAAACAACATGGCTTTAAGCCATTGTATGACAAAACCAAAAGCAACAAAACGAGCACTTATGATCTATTTATTCAAAACCATTTTTGAAAAGATTTTATCAAAATTTCTTTTTAAATTTGGTTTTTAAACATAATTCTTTCTCTTTCTCGCTATTTGTTGTTGTTGTTTGCCTGCGCTGGTAGGTTGTAGAAAAATTTCTAAATTAAAATGCATATTTTCCAATGCATTTAAAACATACATACATACACACATGCATATGTAGGTATGATCTAACATTTGTTATGAATTTTGAACAGACTGATGTAATCAGAGAATAACATTTTGTATTTTACATTCGTACATGCATATATGTACATATACATATTAAATAATATATACGTATGTATGAGAAAATTTAGGTATGCAAGTTTTGTGGAAAATTTGTATATTTTTCTCTATATGCAATGATGCTGCAGCAGCCAAAAGCCAATCAATAAAATGAATTATTTATAAGCATGCATGACAATACAGATGTGACCATATACATACATATATAGATATATGAAGATTTATACATGGATATGTGTATATTTGATAGATACATATATGTATGTATATATGTGTCTAATACATTTTTGGTGTTGTAAAAAAATTTAACGATGGCATTGCTCCCAATAAATTGCTCTTTATTGGCATTATTTCATATATGTATGTATGTGCGTACCCACATACATATGTATGTACATATTATACAATAATAGTACATAAGTAGAAGCTATTTAGCTACTTAAATATTAAAATATATCAACATCTATATACATATTATACGTACATATGTATACGTTTGCATAGAAAATGTTCATCAATTTCCATTTCCAAAAATTGTATCTATGTATGCGTGTACATTGTCATGGTCTGGTCTCTCGCAACAACATTAATTCAAAGAATTTTCCTTGACATTTATGCTCAGCTCACTTGGTCGGTCGGTCGGTCGGTCGGTCGGGTCGTTCGTTCATTTATTTTCCCTTGTTTATTGCTAATTTATTTGTCTCATGTCTGGCGGATACCCATGTATGTACATATGCATGCGCATACATATGTATGTGAGTATATATACATTTTAATGATGTATGCTTAAGCAGTAGTATCTTCCAAATAAAATACAATAACACAAATTTTGGTTAATATTCATGTATGTAAGTACATACGTATGTGTTTTGCTTGAATTAACTGATATCAAGTATTTAAACGCATTTAATTAAACTGTAGCTATTTTATTGAATTTTATTTTTTCCAATTTAAACTTAATTTTTGCTTTTAATTAGAAGTTTAAATATTTTTCAAAACTACATTTATTTATTAAACGAAAATTTTTTCAACAGCATAAAGTTTTAAAATTTTACAATAAAAACGACATTTCACCAATAATAGATTAATAAATTAATTTGAGTTGATGGTGAATTCAAACTTGCTGTGATGTGATTATTGTTTGTCTCAAGAAAAAAATAAAAAAAAATTTAAAAAAGAAATTTAAAAAAAAAAATTAAGAAAAAAAATTAAAAATTAAAATAAAAAAAAAAATAAAATAAAAAAATTAAAAAAAAAAAAACAATTATACAATAGAAGTCTACCAGATCTGTTTGGGATCAAATTGATAAGTTTCTTTTAACAAAGACTTAATGAAGTTAAAATCTCCGCTTGATAATGGTTCACAGGTCTTTATACAATACTATCATCACGTTTTGGTTTTGGGCTCTTTTAAGGAGGGAATCTAGTTTAGAACGCTGAAAATTGCATGATATTCGGCACAGTGTTTTAGGTTGCCTTACGCATGAAATGTTTCAAGTACTTTTGAAATAGGTCATAGATACAAAAATCTTGCAAAAAAAATTTACTTTCACTTTATTTGATACTGTTAAGCAATAACAATTCATATTTGTTTGTAACACTTCTCGCTCGAAGAGTCTATTTTGTGAACACGATAGCGATCGTAGTTTTCATCTGAAACATAAAAACGTATACTTTTTTTTGTAGCTTAGGAGTTGCTCTTCTATGTGAACCTAAGATAATCGAAGAAATTTATAAAATTATTTATTTTATGACTGTTTATAAAAAATTTTGCGTTTTTCTGAAGAAATTTTGAGATAATTTATTGAAAAAAGTTAATAAAAAAAACTTTTATTGTGATTTTTTTTTAGGTTCACATAGAAGCCGTAAAGAAGGTATCACTTATGAAAGTGCGACAATTACAACTTTTTTAATCGAGTGCACAAAACTGAAAAACACTGTTTTGAGAAAATCACGTTCAACGTACTTGCACCCGCTTATCAGTCTCCTGAGCGCATTGTCTCTCAGAGGCCATTTCTGCGGAACGATTAGGAATTTGACACTGAAATTTTGTAGAAATATTTCTGAATATATTTCTAATCGAATGCGCTAAGTTTCAAAAAATCGATTTTTTTGACCCTCTAAACCAGGTTCTCCGCTCAAAAATATTTTCTGAGATAATTTTTTGTGTCCTCTCAACGGATTTACCAGTCCAGTAGTTTTCATTGTCATTTATTTAAAACAAATTGATATCTTACACACTAAAGAAAAATTAAAAAAAATAATTTTAATTGTATTATGCCAAATAAAAGCAATTGCATGCTTTTGCTGCATCTACAGCAACATTTCCATCTGTTTTTGTTTTGTTTTCAAGAAAAAATTTTAAGCTAAAAAAAACACATGAATTTTTTCACAATATCCAATAGAAATAGCGCCAGATTAATTGGAAATAAAAAAAAAAAAAATATATTTTTGTAAAATGGCTTGTTGAAAATATATTCTCAAAATAAGTTTCATTTCATAAATATTAAGTTTTTCAATGATGAAATACCTATACACCATATACATATGTATGTACATCAGAGAAATAAATGTTTATCTTAATTT